GAGAGAGAGAGAGAGAGAGAGAGAGAGAGAGAGAGAGAGAGAGAGAGAGAGAGAATGGGAGGAGAACAGGCAATGCGGACATGGACCAACAGACCAACAGACCGATGCAGCGACAATGGACTGATGGACTGACCGAATGACGTACACACCACCAGACAGACCAACGGATGGGCCAATGAACCGACGAACCCACCGATGGACCGACCAACTGACTGACCGATAGACCAACCGACTGAGAGACGGAGCGACAGACGGACGAAGACACACAAATTAAGCAAGGAGCTTCTCTGCACATAGAGACCAAGCAACTGGATTGAATTTCCTGCTGGATTAGTTTGAGGAGAGTTGACAGAAGGGGATGGAGCAGCATTGGAGCTTCTTACCTATGCTCAGCTGCGAAATCAATGTACTCGTACAGTGATCTGAACGTTCTAGTTATGCCAAGGCTTGTCACAGTGAATGAGACGTCGCTCGTTCCGAGATAGCTCTCCAGCGCATGGAGCCCAGCGGTGGCAAGAACGACAGTGCCACTGGGATACTCTGGATCTATGGTCAGCTGCACAGGCATCCAGGTCGGGTCTGGAGGATGTTGAGCATCACCTTGCCTGCAATGGTATAATTGTAATTATCGGGATCCGTGCATGGCACGGGCAAGAGATCATAAAGAAACGACACCAAAGCGAGCATGTCATTCAGTGAAGTCTTCAGATTGTCATCACTTTGTTTTCCCTTGTTGATGAAATCTTTGAGCTAGAGATGCATAGCAGCATGTTACAAGCTCATCCAAATCCACTATCATCCAGTTTAAACCACCTGTACCTCGCCCACACATCGGCCGCGGGCCTCTCACCACGACTTGTCGGAGGCCTTAAACGCGACAACGGCCTCTGATAAAATTTATCAACGATGCCCTCAGGCTGGCCCCAAAAATTGCGGCGGTTAACGAGCCACATCGCTGAAAAATAGCTGGGAAAGGTACTGGTGGTTTAATCCACAGTGAAGTAAATGCTTTCTCCTGGCAAGTACAAAGGTCCAACACCTGGTTGGGGGGAGCTACGACAACACCCTGACTGACAGCCTGCTTCACAATTGTGATTCCATTTAAGAGACTCATTGTGACGCACGTGCAGGGGGCATGTGCGGAGATGGTGTGTGTGTGTGTGTGTGTGTGTGTGTGTGTGTGTGTGTGTGTGTGTGNGTGTGTGTGTGTGTGTGTGTGTGTGTGTGTGTGTGAGAGAGAGAGAGAGAGAGAGAGAGAGAGAGAGAGAGAGAGAGAGAGAGAGGAGATGAACACGCACGAGAAGCAGCAGCTGAGTGAAGATCAAACCGAGTAAAAGAATGAATAACCAACGAAATCGAACCCCAGACCTGGGCCTAGGCCAAAGTGATGTACCGGCCTAGGACCACTGCAGGTACTGGGAAGACCAATGGTGCCAGACCAGGATCAGGCCGACGGCCTGAAACTGGACCGGCCTAGCTGCCAGGCCTCAGGGAGTGAGGGGGGACCTCTACACCCGTAATGTATGAATGAGAAAGGTACATGGTGTTCAGAGGAGGATGGAAGTCGAAGGTTGACCAATACGAACTGAACTGGTGGCATAATCAATCTCAGTTGCTATTTTTATTTTAACGTGTCAATTGTTTTTTTTTTGGTTTAAGGGAAGAATTAATTTTAAATTTGCAAAATACCCCTGATATATGCTAAAATACCCCTAGAAGATGTGGGTCAAGCGAAATATACGTCTGGAATTTCAAAAGTTTGTGAAATGCCCGTTCATATTTTAAACCTTCGCAATATGTCCCCTGTGTCACTGACATGTTTGGATGTTCAGAATCTGCAAGTTTGCATTCTGCCCTGGGAGGGATATCTCACAAACTTGGTAACACCCTACAGGGATATAACGCAAAGATTTAAATCCAAAAGGGCATTTCACAAACTTTTGAAACAAGGGGTATTCTGCTCTACACACATCTTACTAGTGGTATCTTAGCATATCCATGGACTCTTAAGGATATTTCACAAGTTTTCCCTTTCTTCAATCAGTCTCATGCTGCTGTTTCTTTTTTAAATCATTCACAATTGTCTTGGTTCAACCGTTGCCGTAAGTCAAACCAACAATCAGTCACCAGACTGCCAGTGAGTCACCACTTCCCCCCTCCCCCCTCCCCCCTCCCTCCTCCCTCCTCCCTCCTCCCCCCCTCGCTCCTCGTAAATTGTTCCCAATTGCCAGACTGCCAGTCGGTCACCGTATTCTACAGCGACATTTGGCTAGTGTAAAATTATACTCACACTGGGTCTTTCTGGGGTGCATCTGACAGCAATCACAGCTAGATTCTGTTGAAAAGTTGCAGGGGTACGTATGGTGTAAGCCGCCAATTTCTGATCTTTTCTGGGTCAATCACAGTGATCTTTTCCGGGTCAATCACACTGATAGGAAGGGAGACACACAATCCGAAAGATGCCTCAACCCAAAAAGCGAGACGTCACATCCACAAGGTCCGAAAAGCACACAAAAATTTGAAATTAAGACAGCAGATGGACAGAGACAAAGAAGGAAAAGGATAAAGAGAAAAGGCTAACACACCAAGCCGAGAAAAGACAAGCGTACATATGCACAAGGAATCAGGCACTGAAAAATATCAAAGAGGTACAGAAATCCGTGCCATGCTGGTGTGGTTCCTACGTTTCAGCTGACCCGCCCGCCAGAGACGGCATCTGGCGTAATGTTATAAACCACCAGAAGAGGCTCAGAACAACTGTTGGCTTAGTTCAGGGGTAGTCAAAACCTGAACGTGTCGTCCCGAAAAAAGCAGATCTTCTGTACTCAGTCTGGTTGCCCTGTAACCCAGCAGGGTGGGGGCATGCGGCCTGGGAGAGCTCGGCAGGGAATTAGACAGGGTTAGAGAATTTTAGAGTGTTTTGTTGGGGAGTCCAGGGGTTCTGAGCATTCGAAGGACTTTTGTGGCTATCCTGTCCTACTTCCTGAACTTCTTTTCACAATCCCCTTCAATGCATGGTCAGTACTGGTGTGTCCTCTTCAGTTTGGAAGGGTTTGGATGGGTAGTTGGGGCAAGGGGTGCTGGAGAGTTACGGGACTTTATCCTTTAGTCTTTTTAGCTCCCTTGTTCTTTTTTGGCTTGATCCCCGGGGCTGTTGGGTATTTAACGTTGGCAGGCCCCACAATCCTCGCTTTGCTCTAATTTTGGTCCCACAATCCCACAATCCTCACTTTGCTCAGATATTCAGATATTCTGTTTTGGTATATGGGACACCGGACGCCATGAGGACAGTAGGTGGAGCGCAGGAGCTAGGGGAGGGAGGGAGATTCCACTGGTGCCCCCTGGTGGTTCTCCCCCAGTACCCGAAGGTGCTGCAGGCTAGGTGGGAAGAGTAAAAGTAGATTTGGGATGCTGGACCCGGTTTCCAGCCCAAGGGCGTCCTCCTCAAGGATGTACTGTTTTGTACTGTTTGTACTGTTCTGTACAGATGCATTCATGGGACGCTGGGCCCGGTTCCCAGCAGGTGAGGCTCCCCACCAATAGACGGAGCGGCCCGCCAGGCAAAGCCTCAATCCCGGTGGTTCTCTTACCACCACCAGGATAGAGGACTTGTATAAGGTCCTTGCTTAAAAAAAAAAAAAAAAAAAAAAAAAAAAGTTATCAGATTGTTCGTAGCCGAAACCAGGTAAAGGCCCTGGTATTTCAATTCATTTGTATATTCTACATGGGACACTGGGCCCGGTTCCCAGCACGTGTTGCTCCCCACGAACTGTCTCTTATACACATCTAGATGTGTATAAGAGACAGGTACAATTCGACATGGGACGCTGGGCCCCGTTCCCAGCACGTGTTGCTCCCCACGAATAGATTGGAGCATTTGTCCCCCCCCCCCCCCCCCCCAAAAAAAAAAGAAAAAAAAAAGTCTGGTTGTTTATAACATTACGCCAAAGGTCTTAGCTACCTTTCTTGGTCTTAACTACCTTTCTCAGCCTTTTGGCCGCGATCAAGTGAAGTATCTGTTCTGACCAGTTTAGACCACCAGTACCTTTCCCGGGCGCTTGGAAATCAATTCCGCTCCGGGTTACGCGGAAGCCAAGCGGGATCGGGCCACCGTTGATAAATTTCATGGGAGGCCTTTTTGAAAAACAAAGGAACAACCGCCTCAACTGATAGGAGGAGTTACTGTAGTGATAAGAGCATACACTCCTACCTGTCTCCAGTCCATTGGTGGGGAGCTACACCTGCTGGAAAGCGGGTCCAGCGTGCCATTGAGATATAAAGTTGAGATGATAAAACAGCATGTGCTGGGAACTGGGCCCAGTGACCCTCATGAGCTCTACTTGTAATGCCATGGTGTCCTTTTGGGTGTGTAGAACTAAGGTATAATTCCATTCTGACCAGGAACAGCACCTCTTCACCTGCTTTTTGCCCCAGATTATATTATTAAAACTAGCCTATTTTCGGGCCTTTTTCTTTGGCCCCGGCCAATATATGGGAATGGGCCATTGAAAAAAAAAAAAATCACGCCACACCTACCCGGGGTCTGGTCCCACCTACCGTTGTTGAGTTCAGAAAACTCAACGGTGTGACGACATTTCGACATTAATAAATTTGAAACAAGAAATTAAAAAACTGAAAAAAAAACGCTAGAAACAGCTTTTTTTTTCTTTTTTTTTTTTTTTTTTTTTCTGGAGAAACATAACGGTTTTCATTCCAAATGAGACCACAGGGGCTCGGGAACACACCCCTACATATCAGCCCGGTGCAAACTTGCTGAGGTCATACTCAGCTTAGGGCCTCGTTGGACACCACTACAAAACCCTTACTTTGTAAGGGTGCCCTTATGGCGAAAAAGTGATTAACTTTCCCTTACCTCATTTTTCGTTCTACAACCACTTACAAAAACCCTACACTTAGGCGCACTTACATTTCAGGTGCCTCCGTTTGCATTCTAATTGGCCGAAAGACACACCTGATGTTCAAAAAAAATAAAAAATAAAAATGGTTCTTTTGCGGATGTAAGGGTGCCACCCCCTACTTTCAAGTGACCTCCACGGCCGTCCTTACGGTAAGGGCCGTTTTGGCTGGGCGGCACTTACTTTTGTAGGGCCCGCCCTTACGGCCGCGAATGTGAAAACAAATTAGACTTCTTTTTCTTCATGATTAGGGAGGGGTGGAAAGATGAAAACCTTACATGTAAGGGTTTTGTAGTGGTGTCGAACAAGGCCCTTAGGCTCCTGGAAACCAGGTCTTTTTTTTTTTTTTTTTTTTTTTTTCCCTATACTCTTCTCTCAACTTCTGTTTCTTTACCTTCCACTACCTACTCCTAAGACTATCTAGAGGGGACCCCTGCAAGTCCCTTGAAGGGAAACAACTTTTCTCCTTATTTTTGATAACGTACCTCAGAGAAATCAAACATGTCTGGAACAGTCGGAGTGAATGTCTCCGTGAAAAAGGGATACTCCCCGTGGTGAGGGGACAGGAGATCACCATTTGTAAAATGGACAGGGACAACGTGGATGGCCAAATGCATTAATTGCCCAACGAAGGAAACCAGTTTGATGCCACAGAGCCAAACACAGCTGCCAGAGTTCCTCCGTTTCAG